TGGGATTTTATTTGTCCATCTTGTTAGGAGAACAGACTGGAGTGGAAAGCTTAGATTTTAAAAGTCATGGTGAATTTGTGTTTTCTGTTGACTAGCAAGGTTTTTAACGTGCTGGTATTTAAAAGATTGCATAGCTACAAAGTCAAAAAGTGTTGCTAATGAAAGAAGAAGCCTAGATTGCACAAGTAGATGTTGCTCTCGTTTTAAGTAATGACTTAGCAAGAAAAAGAGCATTCTTGTCCTCTTATGAAATGAGGAACTGACCCTGGATGGAATTTAAAAATGTCTCAGAATAGCAATTGCTTTATATTTTCTACCTTTAAACACTTTTCATTTCTTGTTTCTACTACTCATCATTCAAATGTAAGGTATTTGTATGTATGTGTATAAAAACCCATGTGTTACTTATCAAAAGTATATAACATACCATCTGAAAATGAAATTACGATGACACCAGTAAAGGTCTGAAGAGCTATTTATGCTAAAGTTATTTATTTGTCTTGGCAGTACTGGGGTTTGTTATGTAGCTTTTTTAAAGAAAATGTAGTGGTGGTCTTTTTCTTTCTTTTGGTTTTTTAAAATTTACTGTAGCATCCTGTTGAAATAAGATTTCTGTATTTCTGGGTATTGTGGTACATGTCTATAATCCCACGCTGAGGCAGGAGTTCAAGGCTAGCTTGGGATCCACAGTGAGAGCCCTGTCTCAGGGAAAGAGATTGGGGAGAGAAAGAGAGAGAGAGAGAGAGAGGGGGAAAGGGAAGGAAAAAAGGTTTTTGTATTTCCAAAAATTATTGACATTTATTGCAGATCTACAGTAAAAAGATAATGTTCCCAAGGATGGTCTCTATTCATTCAAATTGCCTTCTGCTAAGTTTAGTACTACTTTTAACAAGTTCTAAAACCTCTAAAACAAAAAACCTGGGTGGTTTGGAAATACCCTATTCCTCAAAAATTTATAACTAAGATTCTGAATTAATCACTTGTTTGGTGTGGTATCAATAAAATTCCAGGCCAATTTTTAAAAAGTAAGGCAAACAAATGTAGAAATGGAAAGAGCTGGGATTAGAAAACAATGTATGTTTATCATGGAAGCTCTTAGAGACTTTGGGTTTTATGAGAAACAACATCAGGAATGGGTAAGGTTTCTGATGAAGACTTTTGAAAGAAGATGTGCAGTCATGGAAATTAAATTCTTTTTTATATTTGCCCTAGTGCTTAAAAGTTAGCTTTTAAAGATGAATGCTGATTAATAAATTGTACTATTAATAAATTGTGCTATTAATGTGGTACTGTTGTCACTGCCTGTTTTTAATGGGCTTGCTGATTGAGATAGTTTTCCTCTTCCTTAGGATATAATGGCAGCCAGAATAATAAAGTGTGTTTAATATCATCCTTGTTAATATTTTGGGAATCTGTAACCAGCTGACTCTTCTCTTTATTGCTTCTCTCTCTCTCTCTCTTTCTCTCTCTCTCTTTTTTGCAGGCAGAGATTGTCAAGAGGCTGAATGCTATCTTGTGCACAAGTCATTCCTTTCCTGTCCCAAGAGGTAAGGCAGTTGATTTCAGGCAGTGGGCTAGAAGTTGCCATTTTGGTGGTTTTGCAGAAAATGTATTATGAAGCTGACTTTGGCCTTGCCAGTTTTTTGGTGTTTATATTTCACATTTTAAAACAAGAGTTCCAACTTCTACACCTATAACATTCAATGAAATGTAAATTTAAATGTATAATGGAGTACTTTTTAAGCAAAAGCCAATTGTTAAAATGTGATGTAGTGTTGCTAAGAACTATGCCTGTTTGTCATAATGTCATCTATTGGGGAGATGGAAAAAATTGCCAGCGAGACAAGAACTTGTTCTATACTTCTGGCACTGAGCAGTAGAGTCGGCAGAAGACGTATCATAATACAAGGCTTTGCATAGGAAATAAACTAATGTAGCTTTTTGGCTGTCTGCTTTAAAAAGTTTTTTACCTGATTAAGTTTTTATGTTGTTTGTGCTTTTGGGAAAAGACATGCATGAAGACTTATTGGACTCATTCTCTCTGAGTGTCACTTTTCTCAAATTTAGACGTTGTTGATAAGGGCCTTCACTCTTTGCCAGTGCCTGCAGTAGCTCACTAGTTTTGTCCTTGCCTCACCCCGAGGAGAACAAATAGACACAGGTTGGAATGAGCATTTTTAGTGCTTGATGGCTTCCTTGTGCTCACTCCACTCCCCACTCTTGTTCCTTGATTGCTTTTGGTAGTTGCAAAGTTACGTGAGAAACTGGAAAGAGATAATTTTTGCTTCTGAATTACAGAATCCTTCATTTGTTCAGGTAAGATCAGCTGTAAGATGGAAGAACTAATAGAACATCTGCATGCCTTGCAGCCACAGTATGCTTTTTGTTCTGGGCTGAGAAGGCAGTGGGGCACTTTATTCCCATCCTTTCAGTTTTTTGTAAGGGTGTTGTCTGCTTTTTTAGTAGAGCCCTTTATCTGCCTTCATACCAGTGGGCCTGTGCTCTTGTTAGCATGCCCCCAGTATTTGAGCATGCATGTGCATTGTAGATATGTGGATTGCTATGTATGACTTCTGACTTGGTCTGACCTGGGTTAGACTTGAGTAACCATGGGTATCCTTAACTGGGAATATGTTAGGGAAAGATGCACTCCATTTTTACAAACACGTCTGAATTCACATGCTCTTCGGGATCACAAGAAACAAAAGATGTATTATCTTTTTCTCTTAACTTTGACCAGGAAACCATGGCCAGTATCCCCATTTACCTATTTTTACTTAGGATTTGCTTATGATGGATTAGATGGCATGGAGAATAAGAGTGTTAAGGGGCATATTTGCATTTTTTTTTTTTCCCCCAGTTCTGGGGATTGAACCCAGGGCCTCTCACAAGCTAAGCAAGTGCTCTTACCACTTGAGCCACAACCTCAAACCTTTTTTTTTTGGATTTTGTTTTTGAAGTAGGTCCTACTAACTTTGCCTGTGCTGGCCTTTGAACTCAGGATCCTCCTACCTTTGTCCCAGTAGCTGGGATTGTAGGCATGAGCCATATCCTGGCCAAATTTACATTTCTTTAGGAAGCTTGACTGCATTTCCTGCTTTGTTAGAGATAGAGAATCGAAGAATGTGTGGCCCACAGAGCTATAACGGATGGGATATCATATTCCCAGGTAGTAGGGAAAACTGTAATTATCCTTGGGCTGGTATTAGATTTTGGCCATCATTGATCGCACAGATCCCTGCATGTAAGTATTGGAACAGCTTTATTTCCCATGGCATTTCTGCAGGATCTGTGGATTATGTTAAAAGTGAAAGGAGGTCTTGGGGGTGTTGGTGAAGCTGATCTTGCCCATCGTTTTCCCACATGAGTTATGTTGTTTGTGTGAGCAGGCCCAATAGGAATGGAATGTGTAATGGTAGTGGTGCTAAGCAAGACTGGACTGGAATTAATTGGGCCGAGGATGTTGTACCTATAGCGGAAAGCCATGGTGGGGAGATATTTGGCAACTTCTTTTCTCCTGCTTTAGGCTTGGGAGGGTTGGCGTCATTTTTCTCACCCTTTAACTTTTCATTTCCTAATGCTTAACATTTCTTGGCTGAAATCCTTGATTCACATATAATGGCCTATGTCCAAGTTTCCTAAATCCTAATTCTGTATATATCTTTTCTTCATTTTACTTTGGTTATTTTTGCTCTTCTTTTTCTGATTTTCCTAAGAGCTGTGTATATCTTTTAATGTGTAGGCTTCAAATGTGTTCCCCTCAAATCAGGGCCTCTTTGATTTTGTGTCTGAACACCTTGTTTCCTCTTTAGGGCTCTCTGTGAGCATCAGACTCCTCACTTCTTCCCTGAGGCCAGATGGACCTTAATTCTGGAGGGAGGGAGAAGGCAGGTTATTAGAAGAAGATGAATTCTATTTCCTGTCTCTTCAGAGGCATGGAAAATCACTCTTGCATGGCTGCAGCGTCACTTGTGCCAGGACTGAAGGCTCTTAATCTGATCTTTTAACAATACCAGCTTTCTCTCAGTCTTACTGCCAAACCACAGCTGTGGCATTAGAATTTATTTTAAAATGTTTTTATTTAAAAATTAAATGATTGTATTTAAAAAAAAAAGAAAGACATTCCCTAAAGATTAGTACGTTAAGTTTACAGGATTGTGGTTTGGAGGTATTTTGAGTATCTGGAGTTTGATAGGAAGAAGAGAAAAATTACATACGTCTAGATGAAGTCTATTATAATTTAGCCCTTGTACTAATTCGTGTATCTGCTTTAATATTGTTTGTATGTAGTAGTTTACCACATTTTGCCAAACTTTAAAAGATTATGTATTAATGAGTGACAAATAAATTTGATTTTAAATTGTTGAGAACTTTTTGTTTAGAAATGAGTTGTGGAGTGTAGCTCAAGTATTTTAATTAAAGTGTGTCTATATTTAAAAATCACAGAAAAGGCTCACTTTCTGTTATTTTTCACTAAAACATTAAAACTTTATAGCATACACATACAAATACACACACACACACACACACATACATACACATACACACATACACATACATACACATACACACACATACACATACACACAACACATACACATACACACACACATCACACACACACACATACACACACACATACACACACATACACACACACACATACACACACACATACACACACATACATATACCACATACACACACACACATCACACACACACATACACACACATACACACACATACACACACATAACACACATAACACACACACACACATACACACACACACATACACACCACACATACACACACACACACATACACACACACACACACACACACACACATACACACACACACATACACACATACACACACACATACACACA